GGCGAGCGGCGGGCAGTGGGCGGCGGGGACACGTCGCGCGGCAACGGGCGCTTAATTCGCGACTAAAGGAGAGGGCGGCGCCTAATGGGCCCCGCGCCCCGCGCCCCTCGCCCTGTCCCTCGCCAGGGCCCGGCGCTACGACGACCCGCCTTCACGACTCGCGGCCCTGGCCTGGCTTTCCTCACACTGTTTATTCCAATGAGTGATTAATAATTTCGGGCGCGTCAAACCATAAATTCGTTAGTCCCATAAGCGTAGTGCAATTTTAATTTTTTCTGCGAATTACAGAGAATGTTATGCAATGCTTGGCGAAGAAACAGTGAATTTTTGACAGAATAACTCTTATTGGGGGATAAAATCCAGTTGCTGAAGTACATAGCCGAATTATGCCGTGAAGTGTCCCTAAGCCAAAACGATAAATGCTATTATTATATAAAGGAAAATAAAAAATGCTGTAGATTCCAAAAACTTTGCAACAGATTGCTTTGGAGGCTGAGATACAACCAGAAACGTGTTTTTGAAATTTTATTTCTTACTCAGCTTCTATTGCATGTATCAAGCTGAAAACAATTGTAGAGATGAGAAAAATAGTTGAATTTGAAGGTACTACGAGTATATACCCAAGAAGGAACAACTTAGTAGATTTAGTTAATACTGTGAAACCAGCTGAATTTGTTCACACTTAGAGGCAGCATTGCTGTTCTTTGTAGCAACTGTAGTTGGGTCGAATTCACCCACTGACTGGAGGAGAACATACGCTGCTCTGATCGGTACTTTTCCGTAATTTCTCCGATCAACATCAGGCTAATGCCGGAGCAGTGCCCTAACAAACGGGCCTCGAACCTTGCGCGATCTTCTTTGTCCTATATTCACCTCTTAGTTACATACATATTTACAAGCACTACACTAGAACATATGTCGGGAACTTGAAGCCTATCCCTTCTGGTAGTTTCCACATTGGTGTAAATACCTGGGGAGGCACACTACCGCAAGCCGACGTGTACGTCGTCGCCGAATCTCAGGCAGCAGCAAAGGAGAAGGAACATCATCACCTCCCGGAAGTTTGCAAGCGCTACGAGACTAGTATAGCAGTTGTCGCACCCGAAAATTCGAGCGTCCTAAACTAGGGAAAGGAAATTTTGAACTTGTCATTTACCCTAATTACCATACATTTATCAATACTTACTTTGTGTTAAAGTCACACTAAATATTATGCATATGGAACACAGGAACAATCTTTACACCCATGATAATTTGTTTATGTAATTTCCATTATGAATGAAAATTTCAATGACTTAGATTAATTGAGTATATGAGCTTTTAGGTAGCTATTATTTATAGATTCGAGAATAATCAGCTAAAATGCAAAGGAAAAGGACGTCTCGGCAATTTTTGGCTGACAAATTCGAATTTTTTGAGACATATTGCGAATATCGCCGGGGAAATTGTCCAAAACAAATTGGAAGGCCAAAGAACAAAGCTAAAGAACAGCACGTAATTAATGAAAAGAGCTGGAATCGCAAAGTAGTGAATATCTAGAGAGCGTGTATTAACACACAATAGAAAGAAACAAATGAAATTTGAGCAATAGGAAACAAGCTGATAAAGAAAGAAAGAAGTAATGTGTCCGTTTTTAGGAGTAATGAAGAGAGGCGAGATAAGAAACAGGAGTGAAATGAGTGAATAAACGGCACAATTCGCGCTGTTGAAATTACCTAAGATAGTTACGATGATTAAATATCCACTCAGTTGTGTTTCCTCAGCTCGCATATGTCCAGCCATGTATTTCATCACATAGTTTATAATCCCATGTTCACGTCGCGTCAAACTACATTACCCGGATTGTGTATGTCTTCGTCGGAAGCTTTCAAGTTTGCACCACATGTGCAAGGCGTACGAAAGACGAAGGCCAGGTCTGGGTTCCGTCAGGCTTTACAGGTCAGTTTCTTCTTGCCATCGCCAACTTTTAAGCTCACTCCGTGTGATGCTGTAGGGAAATATTTGTTATTGGCGCATCGCGAGAGGTGCGAAGAAACGGAGAGCTCCGCTCGGGTCTTCGCGGCGCCTTCCCGCGCCCACCCGCGCACCGCGCCTCGCCCTCACGGCGCTGCGTCCGGCGTGGCGCAGTCTGTGAAATCACTCTGCGCAGTCCATTTGTATCAGCTCCGTTCCATTGTCATTTCGGAATCCGAACAACTCCAATGACGGAGAAACCATGGCGGATACAGAATAAATAGCAAGATTATTAAAAATACGTTTGTATATTTAGGAACTAATTCTACATGTATTTAGCAACATATTACAATCGTTATGAGTAATTTTGCGTAAAAATTTGTTTTTCAAGTATATCTAGGTCATACTCATTTTGATAATTATCTGCCGAAAAACAGCTAATTTTCGGCACAAAAACTCTTTTTGCTGGACGCTCGTAAAGATAAATATTGTTAAATTCCGTTGCTACGTCTAGACAAAAATTCCTCTAACATGCGATTAACCTCTAACATGCATAACAATCCATGTTTTTTGTGGATCCTTGGTACTAAAAAATCGGTTGACGGTAAAAGTCTTTTTGTGAACAACGCTAGAGCCTAAATTGTTCAGCCAATTTTCTCCAAAATTGACATTCGATCGGTCTCAGCGGTCGGACAGTCTGAACTAATTTGAGGCTTTGGGAGCTTCAAAAGAGTATTTTGATTTTTGACGATACTTTACATCAATCTTCAATAACCTTTCCTCAAAAAATGCTCTAACCTTTTTTTAAAAAGCTTTGTCCCCGGATACCGTAAAGAACGCATAAAAGAGAATGATACAGGTCTCATGTTCGTTGTAAACCCATTTAATTTTTGAAAATTGCTAAGTGCAATTGGTTTCAGAGTCTTGCTACAACTAATCTAATGAAGATATTTCCTGATTTTCTTTATAAAATCAGTTTTAAGCAAGATTTTCAACTAAGTTAATTTTAAATTTTTTCAAAAATATGAGTAGTTTTCGTGGAATTTGGCGTGAAATATAGGCAATTTAAAACACATGACATTTTAATATTGGAAATTGGCACTTACGGAAACACTACTCAATCAATCAATCAACATATTGACAAATACTAAAATAATATTTTAACGTTATTACGGGCAAGTATGACTAGGAAAACGCCACAGTTTCAACGAAACGATTACGTACGGTGACGACTTCGAATTGATTTGTAAAACCGATAAGCTTTGAAAGCCGAAACTATCACTAAAGGTTCAGAAAGGTTCTAACCACAATAGCCCTAATTCGGTTTTCTGCAAAGGGACTGAAACTTCAACCAATTTAAAAGTTCTACTTTTTTTGTAGCTGGTGATATCTCTTCAGTATTTAAACTCAACTTTGTTATGTAAAAGGTTATTGATTATTAGACCTTGAAATTATTTCATGCAAGTTTCAAAACATTAATCTTCTCTTTTAATTTTGAGCCAAATCGTAACAAACTTTCTAAAAATGTTTAAACAATATTTTCTCAAAATGTTTCAATTTTGTGCTCGAATAGACGCGTGTAAATATTGTATAGGTTCGATTTTCTTTGCAACATCTGAAATTTCGTAAAATGTTGAGTTTACATTTCCTCAAATCTGTCCTCTATCTTAAATTTTGAAACTCAAGTTTATTTTCATGCAATCTTCTCCTCAATCCCATTTGAAATTTGAAACGCTATATACAGTTTTATGAAAATATAAGTAGTTTGCTTAATATTGAGTTAAAAGTCATAATTTTCAAAATACCTTTAGAAGATCGGATCAAAACGGCACTAAATTGATTTTTTATACTTTTTGTAACTATTCATCCTTATATATTGAACGATGTGTCAGAAACTATATTCACATTTTGGAAGACATGTGCATTATTTGGTAAAAATAATTTCTGAAGAGATTGCGGAAGAACGATGCAAGTTGCAGGTTTATACGTAACTAAAACAAAATACCTTAAAGGTTAATTTGTGTTAGCACAAGTTTTCAATAAAGGATGAAGGGTTTTCCCTATATTTGCGTTTCCAGAATCGATGGTTTTGGTAATATTCTTTCATTCCATTCGGGACATCGGAAACTACTACATAGTTTTGTCAGTGATACCTAGGTGGTACTAATGGAAAGCCAAAAAGTGTACTTCTATTGTTACTTATTAATTAATAATAATAATAATAATAATAATAATAATAATAATAATGTATCACTTAATGTATATTATGTTCTTGCAATAATTAAAATTGTATTGATGCAATTGCAATTATGAATCAATAACAGAAACACAATGAACAAGAATAAGGATTGTAAACCTAATTACAACGCAACCCTAGTAGAGTTTAACTGCCGCGTCTTAGAGACCAAGTGCCCTCTATGGGTCATATAATTGCTAAAATTAAAAAAAATAAAAATGTTGCTTATTACATGCCTAATTGATAACTTACATCCGTAATGTAAATTGCAAACATATGTATATTAGCTGCTGCGATTCTACAAGAAGAATGAAAACATAATTAATGAATAAATCTGAAAAAAGGATTCGCTTGACTTTCTCAAGAAACAATATTCTAATTCTACATCATCACATTGAATTCAAATTTCTAATTTATCGTCAACTTCAAAACATTGGAGAGAAAGCGGGCAAGGAACTCGTAAATCGATGAGTTAATATTCTTAGAAACAGGAAGCTCTCTTCAACATGAGCACAACAGCGTCCACGTCATTCCCGGGCCATGTATAAAAACGCGTATGGTCCATAAACAAACGCCTCTCTTAACATCCCGCCTTGAAGGTCACCCTCAGTCGGCTGCAGACGCCGAAGGAGACGAGTTGCTGCGAAGACGATCTAGGCACTGCGGGCGTCGCTCGCACACGTCGTCCAGATTTGCAATTAACCAAAGTTGAGAGAAAGGAAATGGATAGCAACTGATTTCCGCTATGGCAGACGAATCGACAATCGCTGCTGCCCCGTTCGTGGAGCTCACATCGATGACACCTGTCCGCTCTGCGCCAGCAGCTGACGCCACGTCTCAACATTCCGAAGACGAACGCAAGGACACATTCTGTACGGACTCAGAACCAGCAAGAAGACGGAATCCTTGTTTACGGCAATGGATAGCTGCTATCACAGGCAAGTGTACATCTTATATTTCTTTCTCGCAGTTTTTTATAACATCGAAAAGATTCGAAATTCCTTTAACACATTACTGAATTTCGAAATTCAGACAACCGAGATAGGACATTCAACTACTTAGCAGGACACCTAGTATACTACATTTTTAATTTTTATCAAAAAAATCGTAAATAGTATTCACGTGTTAATAACATAAGGTTCATAACTTCACTAACTTCATACAGACGATAAGTTGGACTATTTTTAAAACAACATAGTCTACTATAAATTTGCCATATAATTGTAATTAATTGAAAAAAACTACAATTATTTTGGTCAACATATTGCAAACATCAATAACTTTTATTTCTCATGCAAGTGACTTGACAGTTTAGATTTCTTTGCTACGTTTTAACTCTTGCTCATTCGCAATGAATCGTGGAATACGCATAATTTTCTTTATTTCAAATACAATTTGATACCCCTTGTCGGTCACTAAAGTCATATTTTGGAAAATCTTTGTCTTCCTTCATATTTGTAGCATTGCACTTATTTAGAAAACATTTTTGTCATCATGCACTTCAGCATATGTCGTAACAATTCTCAGAATTGTATGCTTCTCTAAATCCCATTAATTCTGTCCAATTTACTATTCTGTGATCTGCTTCACACATTCTCAATTACATAACATACAACGTTATTAAAAACTCACAAGCAATTAACCTTATGTAACTTATCGTTCGGGCTTCATGACGGATGGTGCTAATATTTTTTGATAAATATTAACTTTACATCTGCGAATAACAGATTTTTACAACTGCATATTTTGCAATGAATTGTACTATATCTCCTATACAACATATTTTTGGTGGAGATATTACTAAATATTCTGTATTAGATGGCACAAACGCCATTTTGCTGTATTCATTTCGTTTATCACAAATACATTTTCTTGCAACCTGTATCACGTCGTTAGTATTTTTATTAATGAAGAGTTGTATACATTATTGCATTTACTAGAAAACGTGCATCAAATGATGTCTTTAATTGCATTTCGAAAACTCAAAACTTTTCTGTGAAAATGTGCTAAAAAATCCGCATTGTCAAAAATTTCAATCGCCATTTTCTCAAAAGCCGTTCTAATTGTTTCTTTCCTTCTGTTTTAATGGATAATGCTAGATGGGCTGAATAACATGACGTACTTTGGGGCTGAATAACATTACGTTATGTACTGACTTAATTTTTCAATAATTACAGAAAAGTATTTTTTTTAAATATACCCCATGCAGAAAATTTTTGCGTTACTGGCGATTGGTATACATTATTGCAGTTTTCAGTACATGACCTTCAAATTATATCATATAAAATTTATCGAAAGCTCAAAACTTTTCTGTGAAAAAGGACGTCAAAGTTTTCTTGTGCGGTAACGCTTAATCGATATTTTCTCTCAAGATGCTACAAATATTTCAACAAAAATTTCTCTATAGGTTTTATTTTTCTACAACATTTTGTAAACTAATATATTAGTTCTACCATTTGGGAACCAAAAAACTGAGAAAATGAGATAAAATGTAGTTTGACTTATTCATATAACATTAAATTACCTAAAGAAAAAGGAACTTCTGTAATCGAGCTCCGCCATGAATGTTTGTTCAATTAAGACCACACTGAACTGGCACTGCACTGCACTGCACTTCGCTTCGCTTCGCTTCACTTAATCACTTCCTTTATTATTCCTCTACTCTACCCTGCACACTTCTTCACTTTACATAAATCACTTATACTTCGCTCTATAACCCAATATACTTAAGTCCCTCATTTATTTAATACCCTAAATTAATTTCTTAAACTGTTGAATGCTTCGAGGAAAGGTTTCAAAAGGTTTTTACAGCAGTCTATCCATCTATCTTCCATTCTTTTATGGTTCGATTTGTGAAAAAAAATTTCCCCACATCTGTTCTCTGCAGTCTTAAATTTATTTTGTGCCTGTTATCCCCCTACTGATGTATGTACGAATACTTAGCCGCCGATTTATTTCTTTCCAAGCTGACCGATATAAGCTTTACACAAAACTCAGAGCCTTGCAACTGATCGCCAGTTTTCGAATGAATCCAATTTTGCCATTTTCTTGTTCCTGAAAGCAAATTTAGCTAACCTACGCTGAATCATTTCCACGTGTTTACACTGCATAATATTCTGCTAATCCCAACAAATGAAAGAACTCATTTTGGACAGCAAATCTTATATGATGGGAAAACTTGTACCTTAATTTTGTAGTTATAGGAAGATGCGATAAAAAAATTCAATTGTAATTTTCAAAAATTCAGAAATAACCCTAAAAATCGGACCTATGCCACCTTTATTAGTACTTAACACTATTTTTACAAGAAATGTAAAGAAAAATCGGGAATCTTTATGAAAAAAAAAAAAAGTTGAAAATTTCCGAGGTGCTTCATGTAAACTACCTCCCAATTTTGAAGAAAGTTTTTATAAATCGCCAGATTGTGGAGTGTGGAGCCAGATCGAACGGGAGATGCCCATTTTGGAAAAAATCGTACGTATGGTTTAGGCACAAGTGGTATTCACAGACTGACAGACGGACGGACGGACGTTTTGAAAAAAAAACATTTTTTCGGTATCATGGGACCCCAGATCGTGTACACTAAGCGTATTACAAATATTCACAAAACTTCTGAATTTTCCCCCTGAATTCTGCTTTCCATTCTTCCTCATTTTATTACTTTTTTTTATTGCATAAGCATTGAAAATACGGGTTTGTTACAAGTAGTATGTATTGAAATAAGATTGTTCGTTAGTTCAACTTCATTTAAAGGGGTGTCATACCACAGGATATTAATGCGATCTTGAAACTAAACACACTGAACACACTGAGAAACAGTGTTGTGAATGTTTGGAATATGTTTGATATCTTCAAATATAAAGATTCCTTCTCTTACCCGGCCGCTTGGTAGCAGGGGGAGCACTGCGTGGCCTCGTGTGGCGGACTGTTACATTCAAAATATCCGTTAAATGACGCAGAAAAGTCAAAATTACTCAAAAATTGCTTATCAAACATATGGAAATATGTATATCATTGAATTTGTCTTTTCACACTCGTTATGCTAGACTAAAAGAATGTGTATATTCTCCGTAGAAAAAAACAAAGTTTCTGAAATATCTCGTAAATACAAGTGATAAAATAGAATTGAATACATGTATCAATTAGCCTAATTCCCTCATGTATTTCCGCGAAAACTGTAATGCAATAACTTCAAACGTTCAAAAGTTGTATCCGCGCATAACCATACGTACAATTTTTTCCAAAATGGATATTCTCGGCAGATCTGGCTTTACTAGAGACACCGCGATTTTGAACATTTTTCTTCAAAATTTGTGAGTTCTTGTCATGAAGCCCCGCGGACATTATCAAACTTTTCTCAAAAACGGTTCCAATTTTTCTTGAAATTTGTTGTAAGAATAGAGTAAAATACACTTATAAAGATGACAACCGATTTTCAGGATTATCTCTAGTTTTCAAAACTGGCAGTTTGAATTTTCCCGCGTCTTCCTTCATCAACAAAACTGAAGATAGAAGTTTTTCCTTCAAATAAAATTTATTGTCCATAATTATTTCTTTCATTAGGGTCATGTACATTTTTTTAAACTTTTAGTAGTTTTCGTGCAAAAATGCAAAAAAATTGTGCTACTTAAAACAATACAAAAACAATATTTTCTCAGAAAGTCTTCAAACTTTTTCTTTAAACTTTTGGTAAGGATAGTGCTAAATGCACTCCACAAGGTGACATTAACGTCATATTGCTCTACTGTTGTTTTTTTGAAAAATTACAAAAATGTAATTTTTTTACTTGTTTCTCACATTTTATTAGCAGCAATTTGTTCCCATTATTATATTTATGAGTACTTTAAATATTAAATATATATTTCTGAATGCTTTAAATAATATCATATAAAGTTTCTTGAAAAACCAACCGTTTTCTGTGAAAACTAACTGAAAATTACACATTCAAATCTCCCTCAACCCATTCAACTCTCCCTCAATCTATTCATTCCTTTATCGTTACTTCCAATCATCGACCCATTCGTTCATCTACTATCAATTCATCCCTCTATCCAATCATCCTACTACCCATAAAAACATTCAATTTTGTCGAGAAACCTGCATGTATCTCCTCGTTGTTCTAAAGTTTGCTTGAAACGTAAAAATTACGACTTATTTTATGTATTCGACACACCAAATTACCTGTTACATTATTACTTCTAGTAGACAGAAAAAGAGGTAACATTAAAATCTGAAAAATCAGATACGAAATATTATATTCAAAATACTATTTTAACAATAAGGATATACTATTATTTCCATTACAATAGGAATAATTGTTACATTATTTTCTTTCAGTTAGTATGCTCTACTTCGCTGAAGCGGCTGGATACAGTGCAATTCTGCAATATGAAGATGCTGAGTTCCCCAACAAAGACGACCTTTCGAATATCTGGGGAAGTATTATGGTGACGATGTGTGTGGCAGGCATATTATCCTTCGCGGTACACCCCATCCTCTTGCAAATACTCAATCGCAAATTCCACGTCATTATCATTTGCATGGCCTTCTACGGCACAGGTTTTGCAATAATGTACCTCGACTCGTACAAGTCGTACAAAACGCGGTATGTCGTTTCCATCTTTTGGGCGATTGGAAGCACGGGGTCTGAAATGCTTGTTCCAGTATACATCAGTGAAACTACCACTGATAGCACACGCGGAAGGCTCATTGCCATCAAAACATTTCGTTATGTGATACACTCCCTGGCGTTCCTTAATCAGCCTCTCATGGCGTATTCCGGGATTGTGATAGCAATGGCCACAGTGGTCGCCTTGGCGTGTTTCTGGCTGCCAGAAACTCCAGTGTATCTCCTGAAGCGAAGAAACGCGGAGGCCACCAAAAAGTCTCTTCGGTGCTTGCACGGATACGCAGCAGACGAAGAACAGGAAGTCGGGAAGCTTTGGACTCTTCTCAAGGTCACACATTCCGACACTAATAATACTATTGCAACAATTCGAAAGTTCAGCAATATTCGTACACTGGGGTACAGCGGATTGGTCATTATCTTAAGACTCCTCGAGTTTCTTTCTGGATTCTCATTCGCAAGGGTTTTTCTATTAATACAGATTCCTTCAACGGTGGAAAACCCAATCGTGATGATTATCATAATGATGGTGATTATTATACCAGGTGCTATTACTGGGCTCTTGGTATGTGATCATATTGGGCACAGAAAAACTCTGCTTATTTCCATCGTCGCCTGTGCAATGTCGTTGCTCATAAATGGAATATGGTACTGGTATGTACAGTATTTCTGGGAGCAAAATATTATTTCTCTTCTTCTGGCTGCTGTGCATATTTGGAGTTACAGCTTTGGAATAAGTTTTCTTCCTACAGCTATAACCATCGACATTTTCCCGCCAAATCTTCTCAATGTGATCCTAGCAATATCAGGTATCATCTTCTGGATATTTTATACCCTCGAATTCATCTCCGAAAAAGTCTACGAAAACAACACAGTATATGCTTTTCTTTGGCCACTGAGTGCTGTGTGTGCAGTAAGCGTGTTTTTTTTCTACGCCTTCCTGCCAGAAACGACACACCAACCTGTGGGTGCTTCGCTATTAGACATTCGTGAAGTTGATACTGCCGTCACGAATAATGAACGCCCAAGATCCATAAAATGTGAAACATTCAATTCCTCTGTGTCAGATGAACCATAAACGTTGGTACATGTTAGTTGTTTTCGGAATAAGTCGTGCAAGCCATCTTCCAACAATGCGAGAATTGAGAATTAAATCGAAGGGTTTTCAGGCCCACTTCGATACACAATCCAGTATTGAAATATACTAGCCACCGTGAAGTTCTAATCTCTACCACTGTCCTAATTAGTTCCCTATTGTGGCCGCTGGGCACGGACGCAGGAGCGCGTGTAAAGGGACGCCTTCACCCACATGTTACCTGGCGGTCCTCTTGACAACTGACTATACTCACAGATACCTAATGTTAAAGTCAATGTGATCACTTTACAGATTTCAATGAATTATAAAATCCATTTAATCTTCGTCCTATTGAAGAAGACACTATGTATGTATGTTGTTGCTTGGCCTCGACAGATCTTTGTTAATTTAATTAATATGACTTGCATTATGAAAGTGATCATAATTTTAAATACTAGTCCATGGATTGTTCAAACATGTATGTTCTAAAAACTCATATAGTGTAACACACCTTATTTTTGTAAAATTCGACCTTGTACAACTACAGTATAAATAAATAAATTTAATGTTTACTGTGTAGTAAAGAGACAAAAGTAGATAGTTACGAACCTATTTATGAAGGCCCAGATACAGAAAATGTGACACATTCAACTCATTCATGTCAGATATATATGATGTTTTTAGTTATTTATGTAATACGTTATCGCTCTACAATACGAATTAACTCATGGGTTTTTCAGGTTCAACCAATCCAGTGTTGTAATAATATACTATAAGAATTTCGTAAGTTTATTTAACGTTTTACAGATTAGAATACTTCTGGTTTAAAAACGCTTATTAAGAAACTCACCTCATTTTTGTTAAAATGTATCTTATACAACTAAGGTGAATTAATAACTTTTGACCACTGTACTTTTTATTTATAAATTAAATTTTAATAATCCTCAAGCAGGAGATAAATAATTATTGATTCCGGAGAAGGAGAATGAATAAATATACGAAGGCGTTCAAAAAGTCTCCGGAACTGTGGTTCAGCATATTGATAATTTATAACATATGTCAATGGTAAACTAGTAACTAGAGTGCGGATTTTGATGACCTAAAATATTGCCCAAAATGATGAATAAAGTGCTCTTAAAAGGTTTAAAAAATGTCTTAAACACAAAAAAATGAAGTAAAAATTGATCAAAACCTGTTGATTATGTTGCTGATGTAATGGGACTTCCTTTTGTTCAAGTGCACTCAGCTCACAGGTGTTTGGTTTGCACTGTTCTTTACCATAAAATGTTTACCTTTATCGCGAAATCGGCCGAACGAACAAAGGCGCTGATACGTGTCTGAGAAGCCTTAGATCACAAAGTACTCACAACGGCTGACATTACAATATATGAGTGAATAAATCGAATTGGCTACTCAGGAATTCTGTGGTGAACATTGGTTGTAAATATTGTTTGAAGCAAATACCATTAAAATTATATCACAATCGATTAAATCAGCGAAAAATGTATTAAAAATGACGTAAGAAGGTAAAAATGACTTGTTACTCGAAATGTGAAGAATTCTTCCAACTCCAGCCACTATTCAACAAACACAACTGCCTGTCATACACAAACTCTACAGCAATTTATAAAGCTATAAAACAGCCACTAATACTCTACGCATGTCCAATATGGACAAACGTAGCCCCCACAAATGTCAATAAAACTCAAGTAATTCAAAACAAATAAGATTAATTACAAATGCCCCCCTAGTAATAAACAACTCCATTCCGAATCAAACATCAATAATAAACGAAATAGCCCATATATCACATAATTTATACCAAAACCTAGCAGACATCCCAGCAGCTTCCCATTTCAACCTAGCAAAAAATCCAACCTACACCCGAATAAAAAATAGATTGCCTATTGAAACCTTTCTCACAATCTTAGCCAACCATGAAAGATAACCCAGAGGTTCTCCCCTAGATTATTCTCTCCAATGTGTTGATTAAGTTTGATTAAATATTTTAACTGTCATAAGTCTAAAAACACATCTGTACAGTAATTATACTAAACGATGTATTCCATGTAGAACAATAAATATGTTTGAAAAACATTCAGTTGCTCTATCATTCCCGGCATTGTTGGATTCAGTGCTAGAAGACTTCCGTCGGAGATGATTGAAACGTTTCCCTTTGAGCCCTGTTTCAGTGTAGGGAACAGCCGACAGTCTCTGGGAGTGAGATCCGGAGAGTACGTTGGCTGAGGCAAGACAGCAACGTTGCCGGCGAGGAATTTCTGCGTAACTCGCGACGTGTGCGTTGTGGTGATGCAGACTCACTCTCCTCGTCACTTGGCCCTTTCAACCGCAATCACGCAAATTCTGCACACAGAAAATGTCAATAAAATTCTGGCCAGTCCGCGGTGTAGCTGAGCCGATAGCGTCTCTAAGCCGATTTCCCCAGTTTGCTCATGAACTTGATGTTCGCACGTTATTCGAACTGCGACTTTGCCCACCACCCACCTCCACGTGACATGAAACAGTGGCATAACCTTCACTGTAACATATCCAGACCAATCTTGCCTGCGTGTGAACAAGCTCAGCCCCCAACTACAAGAATATGAACCCTGACATATAGCTAGGTGATTTCGGGAACTTTTTGAACGCCCTTCGTAAACTACGGTGTGATACCTCGAGCATATAATTCAATTTTTAAGAAAATAGAAAATTAGTGGAACAAGCAAGGAGCGCGCTTTTGTGTCCTACAATTGGGCAAATGGTAAAACAAAAATTTATACTTATTAAATATATTGCAATATTGAGGTCCAGAAGTACGAAGTCCTGTTTTCCTGTTCCCGTTTTGTACGAAGTACCTGATCAGTTTTCTTAAATATCATGTATTATGAGTCATATGATTTTCAAAAAAGAAATTACATGCAACTAAAGAGCACTAGTGTCACGTGATTATTGATTGATAACCAATTATGAAGTTACAGAAATGTGAAATTCCAGAAATATATAGTTAAGGTTCTCATAAGTTAAGAATTATATAATTGTCGAGTATAATTTGTTGTCGTTGGTATTGTTGTTATTGTTGATGAATATACTATTGTTGTAATTATGTAATGCAGATTCTATTAACAGGTGTAATAAAGTGATGTTCCCAAGAACTATCGTGTGCGCCCCACATCCCGTAGCACCTCGCATACTAATAGCGATGAAAACCGCTCTATCGCTGGCCAAATTCAGTAAGGCGGCTGTCTGACCCCGTGGATTTTCTGATGCTCTTCCTGTCAATGGAAGCCGCTCCCATCCATAAAGACTTGATCTGCAAGAGAGCATTTGCTCTTCTCGAAACTTCCTCAATACGTAAATATTCTAAATACTTCGCTGCTTCGCAAGGGGATTTTCGTCATGGCCACTGCGTCATCGAAAGAAAGCAAATATCCCGGGAGAGTCTCGTTCGAGATAAATCTCTAGTGTCTCCGCGAAAGCGTCTTGTCCGAGAGAAAATTTCAAGTCAAGTGATAGGAGGAATCAGAAAGATTCCGTCCGTTCCTTCTCCTACGCCACAGCCGATTCCTGGTTGTCCAAAATTTGAACCCTTGAAAAAGTGGCCGGTGCTTATTTGCACTAATCAGTACGCAAAGCAAACGATTCCTGTCTAGGGAGGTTGTTGCTGTTTCTGTCGGGCGACCAGTGGCAGCATGGGAGCGGCTTTTCGAAGCATGCTTGTTTCAATTCAGAATCTGAAGCGCTTGCCTCGGTGGCTTTTCATAACTTTCGCAAAAAACAAAAAACAACAACAAACAAAGAGTTTTGACCGGCGCATCTCCGCAGCAGCGTCCCCCTCCCCCTTCTCCAGAGGTCAACAAATGCGTCATTGCGGCATTTAAAAATATTTCCTTCCGGAAAAAACAGTTCTGATTGGCCAATCTGCGAGTCGAGTGCTACTCGCCGTCTGCAGTTGACGCGGTCGTCCACTCGCAAGGCACGAGGCGGAGTCGATGGCCCCCTCGCAGGGTTCCGCAACCGACACAGCTTGTGGTCCCCCGGAGCGCACACCCCCACTGCCCACCATTAACACTTCAACCTCGCACTCAAGCGTTGCCACTCAAAAAGGCGGTGCTGCGGCCTCGCTGCGGAAAGCTGCAACAAGCCTGCACGTGCGGAGCGCCGTGAGTCGTCGCCACCGCCTCTGAGGGGAAATTCCCACCACTTGGTTCACTGCAAACATTTTAGAATATTGTAAGAGGCTGCGTAACGTTATCAAATATTTAACTAGTAGTGCTAAAATAACGTTTGAACCATGCTTTTTTGAATAAAGAAACCAAAGAGAATGAATCGGAGCGTATTAATTTCTTCAGCTGTTGCAGAAAACAGTTTTGACCGCCGCATCTGCGAGGTAAGTCGCGAGGTAAGTCGCAAGGTAAGTCGCGAGGCGAGTAGCGAGGCGAGTAGCGAGGCGAGTGGCGAGGCGAGGCGAGTTGTCCGTACTATAATAGCATTGCTTAAGGATACATATGTAGAAACGTTTTGTTACCTAATTATTACTTCTTTATTATCTGGATAAATATCACTAAAATCATAGTCATTACAATCTAAAAAAAAAATCTTGAGATTTTTTCGAAGTTTTTTTAATCATACCGAACAACAGATTTTGATGGAGGGGTATCATCATCAAACCTACATCAATAGTCTTATTCTGTTCAAATCATATTTCACGTCACGCCACGAAATCACACTCTCAAGAAATTAGTGGTTCTAAAATTGGCACAGACTTTCTCGTCTAGTTCGTTTTTTAATCTCCTTAGTCTAAGCTTTCCTCTCGGTACTGTACTACCCTCTTCCGAGATGCTATCTGCAAAAAACATTTTGCCCTCTTTTAAAAATTGTTCAGTGTCCTAATAGTATGATTGAAATATGTCTTTAAAATTATTACAGAAGAGTAAAACATAGTTCTAATTGCAAATTTTCATTAAAAAATTCGGAGCCGATATCATAATAAGTCGTTTGAGCGTTTCTAAAAATTCGCAATTTTAATCTCACTTTCACTGAACAATTTTGAGTTTTTGAGAAATTTATTAAGAAATAATTTGAAGCACTTGTGTTCGCAGATAAAAAAAGGTATAGAAAGTGCCCTAATTGTAAATATCATCGACATTAGAAACATTTAAGTGACTTTTCCGAAAAATGAAAATAATACATCACAAAAACGTGTATGTCACGGAATTCAAAATGTTCCGCACTATACTTTAAAAAAACGTTTTAAAAAAACACTAGTAGCTAACTAAAAAATTATGAACATTTGCAATTTTTGAAGATATAGGTAGAGGGGTACTTTAAATATTTTGTTTTTATTTTTAAAAATAGTTATAGTTACGATAGGGTTAAAATATGGTATAATGTATTCTGTAAAGCTCTACCACTAATCCCAGATGTTTTCTATTTGTCTGAAGCTCCCTTTTTAATTGTTAACTACATTAAATAAGCACAAAGAAACCGCTAAGTGTTATCTAACTGCTAATAAAATCTTAAGAAATATTGTATAATATATATAATATATATAATATATAATATATAAAATATATAATATATATAATATAGGTATATATTGTACCTACTCAGTAAACGTAGGGTTAAGGAATACTCATTTTTTTATAATCAGGTACTATTAATACGAATTTTCTGGCAAAATATTGCCGTTCTCGCTGCAGATTTACATACCTCTTTTTATACAACGTATGTAGTACACGATAAAAACGAAAGCTCATTTTCATGGTCAGGGAAACGCATATTAGTCAGAATAATCGTCAACGAGAGTACTAAAGCAACTGGTATCATACGTTCTGAAAGACCCCTCAGGAAATATAATCGGCTCTCATTAGGAGAAGGCCTGTAATATGCAACTTCCTGCGAACTGTGATAGCTACTGAACTTAAAAGTGACGAGACAGCTCAATGACAACGCCAGTTCAACTAAAGAAATGCAACGCGAGTGTTCCACTTAACACCAGTTAAGTGTTAGCATCCTGCATCGAAGATCGCACTCAGTCGGCTGCAGACTCTAAAGGAGACCACTTGCTGCGCATCACAAAGATGTCCTAGTCAGAGTGGGTGTTGCTCGTTCATGTGCTCAAGATCTACAAGTAACAAAGGTCGAGAGAAAGTAAATTATATTTTCTGATTTTCGCCATGTCAGAAGGATTGACTATCACTCCTGCGGTCCTGCGTGTGGAGCTCAAATCGATGCAAACTCCGCGTTCTGACCCAACACTGTGCGGCCCCTCTGGGGGTCATTCCGAAGACGCGGCCACGAAGACATTCTGCATTGCCCCACAACCCGCACGAAGGAGGAACCCTGGATTGCGGCAATGGATAGCTGCTGTCATAGGCAAGTGTATGTCTTTTAATTTTAGTAGTTGCCACAAAAGTTGAAAGACACTCACAATAAGGTTGCTGCATTATTTGACCTCTGTGAAAGGACTTCCATATGCGAGAGTAATGAATTACTTTCAATTTTAAACGTAACGAAAACGGGACATGTTAAACAAGAAGTGCTTAAAAAGTGACACTCGAGACAAAATAATAACATTTAATTTTACGCAGTTTCACTACTCTCAGATCCCGAACGAGGACAGGCAAAAGTGGTAGAGTTGTATCTTTTATCTATGCCGCCGTATGATGACCTGTTTTGAACACTCAAAACGCTTACAAAAACATGAAACAAGTGCATTTTCTTCTGTAGCTTTACGTGTTAGATAAAATGATTAACAAACTTATAGTGCTACAACATATCAGATTTTCATCAGCCGTAATATGCAAGTCAGTCTTATTTCACTGTTTAAAACACAGCACATCTCGTACCTTTTTTCGAGTACAAACTTCTACAGAGTAACTTCTAAGGCTCATTTTGTATGTAAAGTTGACTTTGTTAGTCCGTCCATGGCAGTAAAAGGTTGAAGAATGCCCATCAACCACAATTATATGACACTCAAGACAGTTCATTGCCGTAGGAAGTTAGCAACATTACTTGAATTTTTCTTTAGCTTTACAAAATTTCAGTAATTAAATATAATAAAATGTTCTACAAATACACTTTCTTGCTAGCGGTGTCTCAATGATAATTGACAAAATCTGTAATTCATACGAATTAGCGGTCATTGTTGCTATTTCCAACCCATTGCTGTATCGCCGTACTTATAACAGAAAGCGATAATAACGGCTGCCTTTCGTTCGTGTTAATATGAACTAAATTTATTTACGGCTAAAAAACGCATCATGCATCACTGGTATATTTATGTAGAACTGTGTGTCAGTGTAAATACACTGAACTTAATAAAATATATGTATTTTTCACGCTTCGTATGTTTAACAATTTTTAAAATGTATGTTGAAGCGTAAGACAAATTGTTATATTATAATATTAAATAGCAATTAACAATATCGCAAGAAAGTTTGTGCTGTTGTACCACCACTAGGTATATCACATATTTTAAATGCGTTTTAAAGAATTTCTAAAAGATTAATTTGTTCACGGATAACAAAAGCTCGAATGTAAGAAATAATCAAAGGAATTTGAAATAATATACAAATTCTAACTTACGTAGCATCCAACTGCTCGGAATCGCTCCTGCATTACGTTCACAAAGCGCAGGATATTCGAAGCATGTGACTACGTTTGACACCAAATAATCCAAAAATCTCATACTTTCGAAAAATTCCACATGGCCGTATCTGAACGTCTGTTTTTAACACATTTTGGTTAATACAAAATTGAATCTTCACACCGTTATAGTTGAATATCTCCGGACAAAAAGGTAGTAACCCACATATTAAAAACAGCACACAGCACTGTGCAAATGGATTGTAACTGTAATATATGGCAGCTGGCTAGGGGATGGGGCAAAACCGCCCCAAAAAGCTAGCCCACACCAAGGAAATTAGAAAACTTTACTACGAGAAAGTCTATACCACTCTGTAGCGCTACTAAATATGTTTCACGCCGTTAATATTTATATTACAAGCGATATGAAAACGTTAAGACGTCGAAATGGCTTCGTTTCACGTAGGTGGGGTGGGGAGTTTGAAGACTGGTGGGCGACGTTGGCAAGACTACCTTCCTCGTTCGTGCATGAGAGAATTCTGAAATGACCCTAAAATAAAACTTGGAAAATGAAAATTTCACCAGAAAAAAGTGGATAATTTCAGTAGCTAAATTAGAAAAATATCCTCTATCACGTAGTATAGCCAGAATTTATGTTTTGGTTCTTGAAACATCGATTGACGGTAAAACGCCCGTCTGTCCGTTTGTCTGTCCGTCATTGGTCAATGATAGAACCTAAAGCGTTACCTAATTTTCTGCAAACTTTATATACCCTGATCGATTTGAACGAACTGGAGGGTTGGGAGTTTCTAAAGAAAATTTTTATTGTTGAAGGTTTATTTACATAAATTGGGTATTTATCTCTTCATGACTTTGGCCCAGTTCCTTGGAGTCTCGGAACAGAAATATTGAAAGATATTGCTGTTCTTATAAAAGAAAGTAGATTGATGAATGGTAAAAAAATATAATAGCACTAACAAATTAAAAAAATACTTTAAGAAATTTTGATCGTGGATTATGGTATGTTTCATTTCTGAAAGTTAGAAATTACTATTTTTCCTAGATATCGAAATAAAAGCATGTATTCACAACAAGCGATTCCTTTGAATTGGTTTAATTTCGATTATATTAGGATTATGTCTAATACTTTACATGAAAGAAAAACTTGTGTATCATTAATTTTTAAGAACATATTAATTTTATATTACTACATGCGCTGCTTTTTATATTACAACGTTTCCAATCTAAAATATTAAGAAAATTTGCAAATGCTCCTTGGTACGTAACGAACGCCACAATACACCGAGACTTACAAATGACAACAATAAAAGAAGAAATTAACAAGACGAGCGCAAAATACGACTACATAACCATCAAAAAATTCTTGCCATTAACTTACTAGACAATAGTGACACCACCAGACGACTTAAACGATATCATACTTTAGACCTGACATATCGACTATAAATTGTTATATTATTTTCTGTTTTATTATTATATATGCTTATCATCGTATATTTTTAGTATGTTTAGTCTGTGAGTTTAGTTTAGTTATCAAATATGTTTAGTGTGTGTTAATCTGAAAGAATTAAATATTGGGAGTATGGTCAATGGGCCTTACTCCACTCATGTTATTAAAAATGAAAGTAATTTTGCCAAATGTTTATACCCAAACAAATTGCAAAATAAAATATTATTGTAAAAAAAACATGCGCTGCCTTGGGAAACAATGTAGCAATCTATATTTCAAAAATTCATTGTTTGAACGACAATATAAGATAATAAAATGTGAAATTCTCTTGAATTCTTCATTATTGAACATTGACATGCAACCGTTAAGAGGCTTTGTTTTATTTATTTATTTATTTATTTACATATTTTTTATTCGTCTGCAACAATAAAACTGGGTGTGACATATTATGGAGAGAAAAGAATTCTGACAACATTTTCGTAATTTATGTTATCCCTACCCTCCCTAATTCGTTTACATGCTGAGTTCTGAATGCAGTTGCATTAGTAAAGGCAATTTGAAGAACTTTTCTTATATGTGAAAACGTGTAGAGCATTAGATTTAGCATTGCATGTTCAGACAAGAACTAGCGTGTAATTCCTGTTAAAACGAGCATATTTGGAAAATATTACAATACTATGATGTTTAATAGTTACTATTATATACTTTTCGATCATTTTCCATTTGTTTGTCAGTGCTATCAGCATCGTATTATTTTATAACGTTTAATTATTTTAATTTCTCGCATACTGCTTTCGCAGAATAACGCTCTTCGGTTATGTTCGTGAATACGCTGCTACAAACTATTTAATGTTTGCACCAAATGTTCTACGACTTCAAGTTAAAAAAAATGATGACTGAAATCTGTTACTTTGGAGAGAAATTGTAATGTAAATAACCATTACTAACCATTACTAAAAGCGAGAAAGTACGGGCGGTTTTAGCACTACTAGTTTAATATTTTGTAAGCAATATTTCGGTTCTGCCATTAGGACACCGAAAAATGGAGAACATTTTCAAAAATGTATTTTGGACGGCGATAGATGGCAGCTGGCAAAGGGATGGGGCAAAACCGATAAGGTAGAGTACATCAATGAAATTAGAAAACGAAGTAAGAGAACGTCTGAGCCATTCTGTGCCCCCACTAGATCATTTCAGTCACTAGACGAAGAGCCTACGAGGCCTGGGTGTGTCATGTGCGTATGTCATCGTTCAGAAGAGGATATCCACATTTTCTATTGTAAATTAAACGACAAACAATCCAACGTAGCAGACGTTAGTCACGTGATAAATTTTTTTTACATATTCGGTTCAATAAATATTGGATTTAAAAAATAATTGTGTTACTGTATTTAAGAAATTAAAACTGAAATCATTGCCTTTATGCTCTCTTTCAGTTAATATGCTTTACATGGCTGAAGCGGCAGGGTACCTTGCGAAGCAGAAAATTATTTTTTCTCAAGAAGATGACATGCCATCAATCATGAGAAGTATCAATGTGTCGATGTGGGTGGCAGGCATACTTTCCTTCGTGTTACACTCCATCATATTGCAATTACTTAACCGCAAATTCCACATCATTATCATTTGCATCGTATACTACGCCACAGCTCTGGCTATCAGCATCGACACGGACAATTCGTACAAAACTAATTACTTCATTTCTGTATTATGGGCTATTGCAAGTACGGGCACAATGATGTTTGTCTCAGTGTACATCAGTGAAACGACGCCAGACCACACACGTGGGAGGCTCATTGCCCTCAAGACGTTGTTCCGATACCTGGTGTTCTCCTTTTCCCTTTTGAAGTATCCTCTCATTCCACATTGCTGGCTTGTGATAGCAATCCCCACGGTGGTTTTGCTGTCGTGTTTTTGGCTGCCAGAAACGCCGGTTTACCTCCTGCGGCGAGGAAATGTGGACGCCACAAAGCAGTCTCTTCGGCGCTTGCACGGCAATGCAGCGGACGTGGAACAGGAAGTGGAGAAGCTCCGGGCTCTTCTAAGGGCCACACACTCCGACACCAACAACACCACTGCAGCAATTCGGGAGTTCAGCAGTATTCGGACACTGGGTTATAGCGGATTGGCCATTGTCTTGAGTCTCCTTGACTTTCTTTCTGGAATTGTATTAGCAGAGGGCAATATAATGGTTCAGAATATTGGAGTGGGGAAAGGACAATTATTGCCGATGCTTATAATAAACCTTATTATTTTCATATCCTGCACCATGACTGGGCTCTTGATGTGTGATCGTATTGGACACAGAAAAGCACTTCTTGTTTCGATCGTCGTCTGTTCAGTGGCATTACTCCTTAATGGAATATGGTACTGGAATGTTGACTCCTTCTGGGTTCTGAGCATCATTGCTTTGCTGCTTGCTGCTTTGCATTTTTTTGGGTACAGCTTTGGAATGAGTTTTCTTCCTACAGCCATAACCATTGATATTTTCCCGCCAAGTCTTCTTTACATTCTCCTTGCAATAACTGGTATAATTTCCTGGCCATTTTATTCCGACAGAAATATATCTTTGAGTATATACAACTACACATTTGATACAATTTACATTTACCTTTTGTTGCTAAGTGCTGTATGTGCCCTGACCGTGCCTTTGGTCTATTTCTTACTGCCAGAAACGACCAACAAGCACGTGGGTGCTTTGCTATTAGAAAATGGTGTAGTTAATACGACCTGCCCTGACAATAAAAACTCAAGCTCCAACAAATATAATGAATCCAACTCCTCAAGCACATCTCCTCAAGCATAAATTAATGCTCATGATGTATGTATACGACAATAGGGACACATAATGTCACAGACTTTCTCGTATTAGCTTTATATTTCATTTTATCTGGGCTAGTTATTCTGACTTCCCCATCCTCTTTCCAGCTGCCATCTGCTGACGCTCAAAATATATTTTAAAACATTTTTCTCAGTTTTTCAGTTTTCTAATAATAGAACCGAATTATTACTTTAAGAATTTAAAAGAAGAAAAAACCTCGTCTTAAATGGTAATTTTCATCGAAAAATATTTAGTATTTTCTAAGGAAAATGGTGTTTAAGCGTCATTATGAATGCAAAATTTTAAAGTCTTTCAACACAAAAATATTGGGTTTTCAAAAACGGTTTAATCAAGTTATTTGATGCACTTTCAAATGCAATAATGTTTCCAATTGCTGTAAATGTGAATATTAAAGGCGTGGGAGATATTTAAATATACATTTGTGTACCTTTTGAAAAACAACAAAAGAAAATTGATTCTGTGATTTTAAACAGTACAATTAGCATCAACCGTTCAAAAACATTCAAGAAAAGTGTGGAGCCACTTTTTAAACAAAAATAGCATTTGAGGGTTTCTGAAAATGCGAAATTTTACGCTCATTTTCAAGGAAAGCTGACGTTTTTATGACAATTTATATGACTATTCCAAGCACATGGACTCATAAATACATTAATATGAACAAATTGCCGCTAATGTGAAACACGTTTAACGTGAGACACAAGTAAAAAATTACAAATAGTAATTTTTGGAAAAACGAAAGATCAGGGCTAAATGCACTCCATAAGAGACAAACCCCATTTTGCTCTATTTTGTTTTTTCAAAAAAAATGTAATATTTTGGCTAGTCTCTCACCCGTTAATACCCATATTAAAGGCGATTTGTTCACATTAATGTATTCATGAGTACATGTGCTTTAAATATATCATAAAATTTCACGGAAGTTCAACCGTTTTCTGTGAAAAGTGGTTCAAAATTCCGCATTTTCAGAAACGCTCAAACGCCATTTTCTCATAAATGGCTCCAATTTTTTTCTTCAAACTTTTCCAACAGAGAGTACTTATTGACTATTAGAATTCATTTTTGGGTATTTTTTTGTTTTTTAAAAAATTTCACAAATGTATTCTTTTGAATGATCTCTCACATCATTGATGTGCATATTTCTCGGAATTTGTAAAAAATATTGTATTAGCGTGTAAATGTGATTGATAGGACTTCTAATAAAGTTTTTCGAAAAATCAAAAACTTTCTGTGAAAAACGTTTCAAATTAGAATTTTACAGTAGAGCCTGAACATCATTTTCTTAAAATAGGCTCCAATTTTTTCAAAGTAAATTGCCATTTAGGACGAGGTTTTCTGTTTTTTAATATTCATAAAATAAAATTTCCGTTCTACTACGTATGTTTATTGTAATGTTTAATGCAAGTTTATTTGGTTTATTAAAATGTATTTGTATTTCTCGATGTTTTATTTGCCCTACCATCTCCCGAAATGTAAAATAAGAGAGCTGTAAATGTATCCCCTTATATTATAAAAAAGCGGTAAGAATATATCATAATAAAATGTTCAAAATGGGTTAAATAAAGAAGTCTTTACAATACTATTATACAGAGGGAAGAATTCTACTCTTAGAAAGGATTTCAGTAAAGATAATAAAGATAAAGAGTATTTCTACCTTTATATACTTTAACGCGATGTATTGAAATTCCATCACTTTAACCTTGATAATGAGACCAAATACGGCCCGCAACTGGCTGCGATAGATTTATATATTGATAAATCTATAAAGAAAATTAATTGGACGTTCTAAAAAAATCGAGACCATCCTCCTAAATGAGAATTAAATAAAGACAGTCTAGGAAATTGGGTAGCAATACACTAACCTACACAATTTTCTATTCTAAATGAACACGAATAACACAAATAATTTAATTTATAGATTTTAAAAACTTCCATCTCACGCTTCTACTCTCATATTAGATTACAATTATTAAGTAATATACTCTATTTCTCCAGAAACTGGAAAGTTCTTGTAGAAATCATGATGCTGTGTTGTTGTGTAATATTCACAAAGTGCTAGGTTTTTTGGAGCCATTGATACCTGAGGTCTGTGTATAGGCAGGAACGGGTACTTGCCAACCTATCTCCCACACTGTTGCAGACGAACATTCATAACATTATTTCTCAAACCTGTTTTTATATTTAGAAAACAAATTTGAAAAGAAACACACCTTGTGTCATTAGGCTAAATGCACCGAAAAATACTTTAGGAAAATTTCAATAGATCGCAGCACTATCACAAGGAATTTACTTTACCGATAACGTCGAACCAATGGTCTGATTTTCGATCTGTAAACGCATTTGTCGCCTTTTAAAAATTAGAATTTACGCTACGAAGCCCTTTTCCAAAAATCTAGCAAAAATCACGAATTTGAAATGTTCTTCAAAACTTCGAAGAAAAAATTTAAAAATTGTGGGCTTATAGCGCGAGTGGCGACATGCTTCACTGAATCCAACGCCGTTGACAAGATCATGCAAATCGCGCGAATAGGAAGCGTCGTAAAGAGAAATTTACGAAAAAACTCGCCCCCCTTCCCCTTCTTCACCGTTGCGTCACCCACCGCCCGTTTGTGGGCCCTCTGTCGGCGCGGGGCATGACCAGGCAGGCGCGCTGCGTCTAGCCCCGGCGGAGTAGGCGGACTTGCGGGAATACGCAAGCCAGACAGTCGGTTCGGCTTTCGTCTCTTTTGCATCTCAGTCGATTATTTTCCACAGATACCATGAAATCCTTTCTAAGAATAGGAATTCTTCCCTCTGTATTAATATATTGTAAAAGACTTCTTAATTATAACCCATTTTGACATTTTATTATGATATTTCTTACTTGCTTTTTTATAATTAAGGGGATACATTACAGCTCTCTTATTTACAGTTCGGGAGATGGTAGGGCAAAATAAAACAGCGAGAAATACAAATACATTTAATAAACCAAAATAAAACTTGCCATTAAACATGACAATAACATATTTAGTAGAACGGAAATTTTATTTGATGAATATTAAAGAACAGAAAACCTCTTCCTAAATGGCAATTTAATTGAGAAAATTGCAGCCTATTTTAAGAAAAATGATGTTCAGGCTCTACTGTAAAATTCTAATTGAAACGTTTTTCTCAAAGAAAGTTTTTTGATTTTTCGAAAAACTTTATAGAAGTCCTATTCAATCACATTTACACGCTAAGACCAATATTTTTTACAAATTCCGAGAAATCATGGCACATCAATGAGTGAGAGATCATTCAAAAGAATACATTTGCTGAATTTTGAAAAAACAAAAAAATACCAAAAAATGATTCGAATAGTCAATAAGTACTCTCTGTTGCGAAAAAGTTTGAAGAAAAAATGGAGCCATTTATGAGAAAAATGGGGTTTGAGCGTTCTGAAAATGCGGAATTTTTTGAACCACTTTTCACAGAAAACGGGTTAAACTATCCGTGAATTTGGATGACATAATGTAAAGCACATGCTACTCATGAATGAACATTAATATGAAACAAATCGCCTTTTAATAGGGATTAACGGGGTAAGAGACTAGCCAAAATATTACATTTTTTTGAAAAAACAAAATAGGGAAGCAAAAAATGTGTTTTGTCTCTTATGAAAGATTGCATTTAGGCCCTGATCTTTCGTTTTTTCCAAAAAATTACTATTTGTTTTTAAATTTTGTACCTTTGTGTTCTCACGTTTTTTAAAACGTTTGTTTCACCATTTTAGCGGGGCCAAAATTTGTTTCATATTAAATGTTAATTTATTGGAGGTTCCCATGTGCTTTTTGGGAATTAAGGTTCAATTTTATTAAAAAAATTGTTTTTCATTAAAAATTTTCCGCCCTCCTT